TACCTTTAGAGATTTTGTCACACTTCTATATCACGTTTTATTTATTAGGCTTAGTATTAGCATCATAATATATTTTGATTCATTAACAAGGCCAGGAAATTGTGAGAGGGAAAGTTAGTCCAAGATCGTTGTCGAAGTAGTTTAGGTGATTTAACTAAATACGGTTACTGACAGAACTGCCAGAAATGTCATTACTGGCAAAATAGCAGAACCGACAGAAATGACAGTTCTGACAGATATGGTCACTTCGGTAAAATTGTGATATTAAATGATTTAATTTTTATTCTTTTTGTCCTTGAAAAATTTGGGCACATTAGTATTTATTTTGATTGATTGTCTATGCCACCGAACATTTCTGATCCTTATATTATATTTGCTATTTGCCAATTTATCACCTAAATAAGCCAACTTCTCTTACATTATTATCCCTTCATTTGTTAAGAGTTTGCAGGCAAATTTGCCTGCAAAAAGTTATAATATTACTAAATTTTTTTGTTATTATGTAATATTATTTTAATTAATTAATAAAATTTGTTAATTTAGATTTAATAATTTTTTTTAAATTAAAATTTTTTAAATTTATTTATATTTTAAATTAATTATGTAAGTTTAAAATTAGTTAATGTATAATAAAAAAGAAAAAAAATAAAAATTTTAATATTTTAAAATTTTTTTATTATATTTAGTATTAAAATTTATTTACAAATTTATTTTTTAAGTTTTGAAATATATAATATTTAATTTATAATAAAATAAAAAAAAATTAATATACTTTATTTAAAGTTATCAAATATAATGAAAACCCCGTTTTTTAAAAATTTTAAAAAATAAAATTTTAAAAATTAGTTTTATATATTCTATTCTTTATCAATATAGGTATGATATTTCTTAAAACATAAAGAACGTGGCTTGTTACAACAAAGTGCAACATTGCATTGAGTACACCAGATTTGGCTTTGAGGAGGTGTTTTTTCATTAATTTAATTATTGTTAAATTTAGCTTCCTATCGGCACCAGGCACATGCAGCACGATTTTCTTGCCATTCTGGATAGTGATTTATACCAGAAAACCAAGTTGATAATAATTTAAAGTTTTTATTAATAATTGGAGCAGAGTTTTCATATAATTTTACTTTAGAGCTTTGTTTATTTTTAAGTTTTTGCCATTTACTTAATATATCTTTAATAAAATTCCATGCAATTTGTAAGTGAAATTTTCATGATTTAAAGTTCTATCTATAAATTTAATAGTTTGTCAATAAAAGTAATTAATTTTTAATTAAAATAGATAATTTAATAAAGTATTTAAGTTAAATTACTTTTTTATTTATAAATAATATATGAATTTACAATTGCTGTATTGATTAACCAAAATATAAGTGGCAACCAATTATACAAAGAAGTAATTTGACAATTATAATATGGGCCATTACAGTAGAAAGGGCCCAAACTCACCCAGAAATCACAATTGAGTTTCTGTAAGATTTGAATAAATTTTGAGACAGGCTACATTTTTCGATTATAAATGAAAATTGATTTGCTTAATAAAAAATAGAAATATTTATAAAATTTTTTTAGAAGATTTGTACATTACGAAATTATTCAATATAATTAACCAATCAAATCTTGGAATTTTTAATTGACCTGGATCAGTCTGAACAAAATAAATATAATTTTCTTAAAATTATATATTTCTGAGTTTCTGCTCATTCTACTGCAATGGCTCCATATGATCTAAATTAATCTGTTGTATCAACACTATCTATAAAATGATTATACTCATTAATAATCTTTGAAATTATGATTTCTTTTCAGAGTACTTTACAAAAAGTTTTTGTATATTTGCTGCATTTGTACTAGTTGATCATGGTTTGTGACATATTGTAAGAATTTTTCATTCATCATCCTTAATACCATAAATAGTAGAAAGCATATAGACTGACCATTATCTCCTATAGCATTACTAAAACATCATTTACAACAATATCAGATAAAATATTTCAATCTAAATAAACAGAATTTCAGATTTTAATATTTTAGAAAACATTGAAGAATTTGTTCATACTGTAATACAAGCTCTATAACCTTTTGTTCTTAAATAATAAAAAAGTAAAATACTTGTAAAATAGTTATTCATATATATATTATATGCATGCCCTCTTGGTAGTTGAGCAATAAGATATGATACAAGCAATCTAGTTTTATTAAGACTAGGAATAATTGTAATTTCACTATTATTTACATATGAGATTCAAAAGTAAATGTGTAAATATAAACTTTTTTACATAAAGACATAACCTTATACCCTTCAGAAATAGGTTTATTTTTTATATGAAAAGTATAACTACTTCAACCTGAAAAATGTATTATCATTTTATTAACTAATACTTGTAACTCAGATATATATAGTTGCTTACTAATATTTCTAATATGAGAAGTAAGTAGTTTAACTTTACTATACCAATAAGAATTTTTAGAATTAGGATTTGAAATATGTAAGTATTGCTTAATTTGTTAAAAATGAATTACAGACATTTTTTGTATAATGTAATATTTAGAAAATTTAGGATTAATGATCTAATAATTGGTTACTCTTGGTAATTTAATTATATTCATATAAATAACAATTTTTAACCAAATTTTTAGTTCATTTAATGTTAGTGGTATCCATACCCATCCCATTGCATTGGCATTTTTTTTGAGCATATTTATTTGTATTTAATACAATAGTTGTAAAAATATTTTGTAAAAAAAAAGGCCAATTAACCCATATGAAGAAATATTGCAGTTTGAATAAATTTTTGATAACATTATATAGCCTTTATGATAAGGCATATTATGAACTAAAGTATCAAAACTAGGTGGTTTGGGTAATTGCATAAAAATTGCAGCTTTTTTCTCAAAACTTGAATTATTTTTTCACTCTTATTTCAACTTTTTCTTCTAGTACTTTTTTTTTGCTTTTTTTACTAATTACTGTTTGTTCTAACTCTGTAGATATATCATTTATATTTACAGAATTCTCAGCTTCATTAAACTCTTTCAAAAATTCATTAGCTGCAAGATTTCTAGATAAAAATGAAACAACATATTTATCAGATAATTTATCAGATAGGTCTACAATATTTTCTTACATTGAAATCTGAAAAATCAAAAAAGTTTAAAAAAAGTATTAAATTAAATTTTATTTAATAATAAAAAAAAAACTTACAGATTGTATTTGATATAACTTATAAGCAAAATATAAATTTTTTTAAAAAAATTGTTTTATGGCTTTTTTTCTTAAAAAAAACATGTTTTACAGCTTTTTTTTTGAAAAAAAGTTGTCTTTTGATTTCTTTTTTTTTAGTAATTTATTTAAGACCTTTTAATCAAACAATAAATATATTAATAAGATAACAATTAATCTATTCAATAAAGTAAATAATAAAAAAACAAACTTGTAAAAACTTGTATTGAGCAAAATGAACAATTATTATTACTATTATAATACAATTTTTATTATTTATAATCCAGTAATTGAATTTTAAAACAAGTTTAAAAAAATTCTTCATACATACAAATATTTCTTTAAAATATGATTAGAATAGCACAAAAAAATGCTTTGTTATGTATTAATATTATAGATCATCACTTTTTATAATCAAACAATTGGTGATTTTTGATTAGTGCATAATCATTAGAGATGCATTTATACAATTAATACTTTATATTGAGTATAATACAAAACATAGAAATCTTATACAGTCAAACCTCTCTATAGTCACACCTTTGGGACACAAAAAAGCGTGATTGTAAAAAGGTGTGACTAATATAGAGGTATTTCCTATATAGTTATAAATAATTGGTAAAAATAAATTTGTAATTATACCAATTT